TTCGCCTGGCGAACATATACAACTTTTGCTTCTGTAAAAACAGTGTTTTTCACGCGTTTTTGAACTTTCGGTTCGCCTGGCGAACTTTTGTTCGCCTGGCGAGCTTTGGCGAACATGACAGCAAACCAACTTGTTTCGACCATAACTTTTTAACCGCAACTCCGTTTTTCGCCTGGTTCGAAGCGTTGGAAAGCTTATTCAATGCTCTATCTAACAATGCTCTAACATCAATGCTTTATTACCTACAAAAATGAACGAAATTCAATTAAACTCAATGATATTTACAGGAAAACATAATATATACACTATAACGTAAAGTAAACGCATTTATAAACAAAGCGGGGTTTATTCGAACGATTTTAACATAAAGTAACGTTAAGTGCAACAAAACTTATATACAAAAATAGGTAAAATTTGCACTTAACATACCCGCACTGTCAAAAGGAACAAATAGAGAAAATGGTTAAGGACATGTTGGACCAGGGTATTATTCAACCCAGCTCGAGCCCCTTTTCTTCACCTGTTTTACTCGTAAAAAAAAAAGACGGTACATGACGTTTTTGCACCGATTACCGTGCTTTGAATGCTATCACGGTTAAAGACAACTTTCCCATCCCTATTGTGGATGAATTGCTAGATGAATTGTTTGGTGCCACTTACTTCTCTAAGCTGGATCTACGTTCTGGATACCATCATATTTTAGTCAAATCCGAGGATCGATTTAAAACAGCTTTTCGTACTCATCAAGGATTGTATGAATGGTTAGTTATGTCGTTCGGTTTGTCTAATGCACCGACATCATTTCAGAGCTTAATGAGTCAAGTTTTTAAAGAGCAACTCAGAAAATCCGTATTGGTGTTCTTCGATGACATACTCATTTACAGTCCCTCTTGGGCAACCCACCTTGAACACTTGGAAGTGGTCCTCACCTTGCTGAGACATCATACCTTATTCGCTAAACTGTCTAAATGTTGTTTTGGGTTAACAAAGGTAAATTACTTGGGTCACACAATATCTAGTCAAGGCGTAGAAATGGATATTTCCAAGATCAAAGTGGTTTTAGATTGGCCCGTTCCCTTAAGTATTAAACAATTACGTGGTTTTCTAGGGTTATCCAGTTACTACCATTACTTTATTAAAGGATATGCCTCTATTGCAGCACCATTGACATCATTATTGAAAAAGGATGCTTTTCAATGGAATAACCAAGCAACCGTTGCTTTCAAGAAGCTCAAGACAGCAATGACAGTAGCTCCAGTACTTGCTCTTCCAAATTTTCATCAACAATTTATTCTTGAAACCGATGCTTCGGGTTCTGGTATTGGTGCAGTGCTAAGCCAAGATAAACACCCAATTGCATACTTCTCTAAAAAGTTGTCCACACGGATGCAGAAACAGTCCGCTTATGTGCGCGAACTCTATGCTATCACCGAAGCTATGGTGAAGTTTCGTCATTATCTTATCGGTCACAAGTTCACAATCAAGACAGATCAAAAATTTTTGAAGGCTTTGACAGATCAAACCATCCAAACACCGGAACAACAACATTGGTTGCACAAATTTCTCGGGTATGATTTTACTATTGAATATAAACCAGGCTGTGAAAACCTTGCTTCTGATGCCCTGTCTTGCTCATTCTTCATGGCTTTCTCTACCCCACACGCTGCTGTGCTAACTGTAATTCATGATGCTATAAATCACGAGCCTCATTTGGCTAACATACGAAATCAGTGTCTCTCAGGGCATTGTCTGGATCCTAATTACCAAGTACGTCACAACATGCTGCTTTGGAATTCTAGGTTGGTCATTCCTGCGGATAGACAAATTATTGAATTGTTACTCCAAGAGTTTCATGCTTCCTCTCTTGGTGGACATGCTGGTATCAGGTGTACCAAGGCCAGATTAGCCTCTCAATTTTATTGGCTAACCATGAACCGTGACATCAAGGATTTTGTATCTTAGTGCTTGGTTTGTCAGCAAGCTAAAGCATCCACTGCACGTCCAGCAGGCCTGCTACACCCTCTTCCTATTCCAGCTCAAATTTGGGAGGATATTTCTATGGATTTCATAATAGGTTTGCCTAATTCAAATGCATACTCGGCTATTCTTGTTGTTGTTGTTGATCGTCTGTCCAACTATAGTCATTTTACTGCTCTGAAAAGTGATTACACAGCTACCAAAGTTGTTGAGTTTTTTATCAATACAATGGTTAAACTCCATGGGTTCCCTAAATCAATTGTATCGGATAGGGACAAAGTTTTTACTAGTCAATTTTGGCAACAACTCTTCAAGTTAAGTGGTACTACTCTTGCCATGAGTACAACATATCATCCCCAAATAGACGGACAATCTGAAGTTGTCAACAAATGCCTAGAGATGTACTTACGTTGCTTTATGAGTTAAAACCCTAAGGCTTGGTCCAAATTGCTTCCATGGGCTGAATTATGGTACAATACAGCTTTTCACACCAGCATCGATATGTGTCCGTTCAGAGCAGTATACGGCAGAGATCCTCCTATGCTAATTAAGTATGACAACAACCCATTAGATCCCCCTTCACTCCAAACATTACTACAAGAACGTGATAAGGTCTTGGCTTTACTCAAAGAAAACCTGTCCAAAGCTCAGCAAACAATGAAGAAGTTTGCAGACTCCAAGAGAAGGGTCTTGGAATTCCAAGTGGGTGACCATGTATTGGTTAAGCTCCAACCTTACCGTCAACATTCCATTGCCTTACGACGGAATCAAAAACTGGGGTTACGCTATTTTGGTCCTTTCCAAATCATTGCCAAGATTGGTCCTGTTGCCTATAAGTTACTACTGCCCCCTACGACAAAGATTCACCCGGTTTTCCACGTGTCGGCTTTGAAACCTTACAAGGCTGAGCATAATGTCCATTATCTGCCTCTACCCTTGACTACAAATGAATTGGGTCCTATTTTGATGCCTCAGACTATCATTCAGTCCCGTGTGATTTTGCAACAACAACAACAAATCCCACAGGTGCTGGTACAATGGGAGGGTCTGCCTAGGTCAACTGCAACATGGGAAAATTGGTCTGAATTTCAGGACAATTATCCAAATCTTAACCTTGAGGACAAGGTTAGTTTTAATGGAGGGAGTAATATTATGATTGAGATTAATCATGAGGGCACAAAGGACAAAATAATAGAGTTAGAGGCAAATCACACTAATGGGCAGGTGGCAATTGATCCACTTTTAGTGCAAATAAGGAGAAACGTACGAGAGAGAAAGGAAAACAGAAAATATTCTGATTGAGTGAGCATAAAATGGAACAACAAAGAGAGTAGTGGGTGTGGAAAATTTGGTAATCAAATCTCTCTCTCCCTTGTAATTCTGTTGGTGGAGTAGTACTCACCATTATCTTTTCCTTCTGTCCTTTCCTATAATTCCTTCAAACGGCATGTTAGCCATATTTGCTGAATATAGCAAGGAGATTTTTTCTAAGTTGTAACCTCTTTAATACAATTTAGTGAAACCATATTCTGCATCTCTATTATTCTGTTGCGTTAAATTTTCTGACCATACCATCTAACCTCTAAAATTAGATCCTCTCTAATTTCCATTTGTGTTAAGCTTATTGCTTCGGTGATTAGCTTTACTGGCAAAGTTAGTTGCTGCATTGAGATTTAGGTTGGCGAGGCTATTTAGTTGTTCAATTTTACTTTCAAAAGTTAAGAGTTGAGCTTGCAAATCAACCCAATTGAGTGTGGTTTGATCATAAATTTTAACAACTATAGGGTTGTACTTATAGTCCAAGTCATTCAATAACCTATAACATTATCAGCAAACATTGTGTTGATCAACCAACCAAGGAGTTGTTGCTCATATGCTTGTGAATCTTCAGAGGCTTGACTTGAGGTCTTGCTTGAATCAGCATTGGTTATGAGTTTCTCAGAGTCAAAATTGTAGTAATGTCTAACATACAATATTCTAACTATTTTGAGTTTGTTAATGACAACAAACAATACTAGCAATTTAGAATATTGTAAAAATAGTTATAGTAATTTAAAACTCACTAACTATTTTTAATTTTTAAAATCTTTTTTAACGAAACTCACCAACTAATTTTCTAATCATTTGTCTAAAATAAACATTTCATATTTGAAAATTCACATTGGCATAACGTAATACACCAACTCATTCTTTCTGTTTTTCTCTTTACCAAATTCAAAAATACAACTAAACAATAATCAAAATTATGTACTAAAGTAAGCACCATTATTGTTATAAAATTTATCATTTACGGTTATAAGCACTATTTATTACTTTAAGACAACTACTTAATAACAAATTAGTCATATAAATTTCTGTCTTTTCCATCACGGAGCAACTAATATTATCATAATGCAACAATTCAATAAACTTATATATTTTTTGTCATATATAGTCGTTGTTCCTAAATCACTTTCTTCCACACATACTTCTTAATTTTAGGCACAAGAAACTCCAAGATGATCTCAACAGATATATACAAAGAGTTGAAGAGTTCAAAGCTTTGATGCGATCTCATTAAATTTTAGAACCTAATCTTTTGTGTAAGGAAATTCTAACAAAGAAAAACAACTTTTATAAGAAAATTTTCTCATACATTCTCTCAACTCAAGCCTAAATGTTCTAAAAACAATTCATATTCATAATCTGAATTGACACATCAAATTTTTTCGTGTGCTTCTATACTGCTAATTTTAGATACAACATCAAAGATTTTTAGGGCTATACAATTACGAGGAAACAACAATTAAGATTCATCAGTCACATTCAATTGCGATTCTCTACAACATCGAGGATCATAACGTCAAGTTTGTTTCCAAAACATGGTTGAGCAAAGGTTTTTTTATTGTGTTTCCTCTCACTAATGAGTAGTGCAAATATTCTATCTTGAAAGCTTCAAAAATGGGTTTGGTTCATAAAGCTCTTCAAAATTTCATCAATAAACACAAAATAATTAGGTTTTTAAGATAACATATATACAACTCATGGATCAACACAAATGGTGGCAAGTTATATGGTTAGTCATCTCTATAATAATGTTTCTTTCATCTTTGGTTCAAACCCTACAAACTTATGATCATGAATCATTAGAAGACTTCTTTTGCAAGCAAGTGAACAAAGATATAGAAAATCCAAAAACAGGCATCTTCTACAACACTTCACTTCCTTCTAACTACACAGGAATGAAAGTTAGAGCTATTAGATTGAGAACATCATCATTTTACATAAGAGGATTGAATTATAGTATCTTCAAATTTCCACCACATGTTGTGCCACAACCAAATAGAAAAAGAATGGTTATACTATATGAAAATTTTGGAAATTGGTCTTCTCATTACTTCAATGTGCCTACTGATTACACAATGGTGGCACCGATTTTTGGTTTTGTGGCTTACACTTCTTCAGAAAATGCATTCATAGTTAAAGAGAAGATGAGTTTTGTAATCCATGGGAAACCTATTTTAATACATTTTCATCATGTTAGGTTGCATGATAAAAACGATACACCAATTTGTGTTAAGTTTTTAGATGATGGAATATTGGAATTCCACAACATGAGTAAGCCATATGTTTGTGAAGCATATGGGACAGGACATTATACTCTTGTGGTTCCATCTCCATTTCCATCTCCATTGTACAACAAGAATATATTTACCATTTGGTGGATTTTAGGATTTGTTGGTTTGGTCTTGTTGGTTTTGGTGTTAGTAACTTTAACTGAGGTTGCGAAGAAGAGGAAAATAAAAAAATTGGAGAAAAATTCAGAAAATGGTGAGGCTTTTGATACTTTTTGGATTGGTGAAACTAAAATGCCATTGGGTTCAATGATTAGAACTCAACCAGTTCTAATTGAAAATGATTCATGATTTTATTCACTTATAATATTATTAATTGTCGGTGATTCAATATATATTTTTTTAATCATTCATGTAGAGTGTATATATATGATGTTACTTTTAACTTTAATCAAACAAAATCATTTCATACAAATAAAAATAACTTTGACTATACATAATATATAGTTATGTATTTATTATCATATACCTAAATGACACTTTGATGCCATGTTTTGTTTTCATTTTAATTTTTTCTATATGCAATAAGCAATTTCATTAATTTTTTATTCCTATATTTTTCTTCTCTCTTGATTAATAATAATTAGAACAATAATTTTGATGGTATCATAATTCAACTACAATTTAATCCCATGTTCAATAATTATTTAGCTTCTCTTTACTGCAAAAAAGTTCCAAATCGATGTGAATAAGTTCAATAAACAAACAACTTTCTTAGCTTCTCTTGATCATTGAAAGTTCAAGACTTTCGTTTTCTGCTTTTTTGGGTTCATTCGATTAGGTTTTTTTTATGGTGTTAATACTACGTGCATCCGTTATGTCCATTTATTATAAAACTTGTTTTTATGAAAATAGACAAAAGACGTAGAGCAAGACAATGCCACAATTATGGTAAAATGTTCTCTCGATGATGTCAAAATCTTGTTTGTTGAAATTCTTCAACCGAATATATTTTATATTGAATATGGAAGAGACAAAATTTTGCATTGTTCAATGATTTGTACTTAAATAGGAGACTTGCATTGTTCATTTTGAGGGTTCTTTTGCTGACCTGATGACAAGGATGGAGGCAAGGGTAATTATTGTATGGTGTTTCATTTTAAGATACTACACTTATGTAATGATGAATAAAAAGTTCAATAAGAAAAGTCATTGAGAGTGATCATGATTTGTTTATGGCCTTTGAGGAGTCTTTAAGGGTGGTTGAGCAATGAATGTATGGAAGGTGTGTGAGTATTCATGCCTTGAGTCAGGTATGTCATCATCCTAATGGTTTATTCGAGTTACTCATGGGACATGGGAGGTTAGGTGTCATATTGTAGATATTTTAAAATCATCTACAACAGACTCTGATACCCCCTGACACGACATAACCACTTGTTTTGGATGCAAGGTTGTTAGAGAGATTATGCCACTACGCCAGAAATCACTTTTAGCAGCGCATAGAAAGACAACGCTTTATACAAAAGCGCTGCTAAAGGGCCAGTAAAAAAAAAGAAAAAAAGCGCCTACCAAAGACAGCGCTTTTAAAAAAGCGCTGCTAAATGGTGGGCCTAAGAAAGCGCTTTTAAAAAGCGCTGCTAAAGGGGGGCCTATGAAAGCGCTTTTCAAAAGCGCTGCTAAAGGGGGACCCTTAGAAAGCGCTTTTTATATAAAGCGCTGCTATATGGAATTGATAAGGCACCCTATGAAAGCGCTTTTAAAAGCGCTGCTAAAGGCCTTTAAAAGCGCTGCTATAGGTATTCATATTATAATTTTAAAATACCCTCCAGAATTTTAATAGAATCAGAACAGTCACGCAACACATTTCTTCTTTCTCTGGCGAACAAAAACGAACGAACGAACCACTGTTCATCGTCCGACCATCAACTTCTTCCGTCCGATCATCCTTCCGACCATCATCGACCGTTCACCGTCCGTTTTTGAGTTCATCCATCCGTCTGCATTGCCGGTCCACCATTGTTACGGTACGTGAAGCTTTACTCTGCTTTTCTTGTTTTTTTTAATCTTTTCACCATTGTTGTTCTGATGATATATAGATGGTTTTTATCTTTTCAATGATGATTTTTGTTGTTGTTGTGTTAGTTGTTGTTGTGTTAATATGATATATGAGATATATATGATATTGTTGTTGTTGTTGATATAAAATAGTTTATATTTGTTATAGTTTATATTTGTTATAGTTTATATTTGTGTTGTATAGATGGTTTGTATTTGTTATAGTTTATATAGATGGTTTGTATTTGATATAGATGTTGTTATTGTTGGTTTATATTTGGTGGTTTATATAGATGGTTTATATTTGATATTTGATATTGTTGGTTTATATAGATGGTTTATGTTGTTATTGTTGGTTTATATTTGATATAGATAGTTTATATAGATGGTTTGTATAGATGGTTTATATTTGTTATTGTTATTTGATGGTTTATATAGATGGTTTATGTTGTTATTGTTGGTTTATATTTGATATAGATAGTTTATATAGATGGTTTGTATAGATGGTTTATATTTGATATTTGATATTGTTGGTTTATATAGATGGTTTATGTTGTTATTGTTGGTTTATATTTGATATAGATAGTTTATATAGATGGTTTGTATAGATGGTTTATATTTGTTATTGTTATTTGATGGTTTATATAGATGGTTTATGTTGTTATTGTTGGTTTATATTTGATATAGATAGTTTATATAGATGGTTTGTATAGATGGTTTATATTTGATATAGATGTTGTTATTGTTGTTGATATGTGTTGTTGTTGTTGTTGTTGTTATTCTGAATTACAGGTATATTATGGCCAGCAACGAGGAAACATCACATGATGGAAAAGAAACACCCAAAGACGTTGAAGGCGAAATTAAAAGAGACATAACGATAATGAAAAGTATCATCCGTGCGAGAGATAGAGGTGTAAAGTACGATGTCCATTGGAATGAAAAAGATCAGTTGGTTGAGCCTAATGGTGCGCTGCTGACAAGTTATATTGAAGCAGTTATACGTTCGCAAGTTCCGATTACTTGCGATAACTGGAGAATTCCTGCATTAAAAGCGGCTAAGGATAAAATTTGGACCGAGATTCAAGTATGAGATTTGATCATTTTTAATTATGTTGACAGTTACATCTTTAAATTAATTATATTAACATGTTATATGTATGTGTATTTGTTTGCAGAGATCTTTTAATATTGAGGATTCTAGGAGAAAATATTGTATTCAGTTGGCCGGAAAACGCTTGAGGGGATTTAGAGCGTTTTTAACCAACAAATATCTTAAAGATTCTGATGGCAACTTTGTAGAGTCGGAGCGTCCAGCGAAGTACGCTGATTTGATTTCGGATGCAGAATGGGAGACATTTGTTGCGAAGCGAAGAACCAAAGAATTTGAAGTAAGTACAACTTATCATGTACAATGTATAGTATATATACCTATTCCATAAACAAACTGATATGACTTAAACTTGTTTTTTCAGGTTAAGAGTGGCGTAAATCGGGAACGGGCATCAAACCCTGCGTATCCATATAGAAAGGGGCGTTTGGGATATGCACGCTTAGAACAAAAATTAGTAAGTGCATATATATGCTTTAATATGATCTATTTACAAAAAATAGTAAGTATACATAATAGAATATAATGCTTTATTGTTCGTCTTAATGCGTAGTTGGAAGAGGAGAAAAGTGATGCGACATCTCTTCCGGACCATGTCGTATGGAAGGTTGCCCGGGTGGGAAGAGATGGAGCCGTCCAAGAAGAAGTTCAACAAGTGTTTGAACAATGTGTAAGTACAACATTAGTTTTTGAACAAAGTGTTTGAACAAAGTGTATAAAATATTTAAATATGCTTTTATCTATACTTCAGGAGTCCCTATCCCAGACTATAACTCCTGCTGAAGACGATGATTGCAGGAGTTTATTGAGTCGGGTGTTGAATATTCCTGAGTACTCTGGGCGTGTGAGGGGCAAGGGATTTGGTGTCACTCCATCCAAACTGTATAAGCAGCCAAGGAAAAAAAATCCAACCAATAAAGAAGTGATGGCTACTTTGGAGGAAATGAAAGCTCAAATTCGTGAATTACAGAAGGATAAGGAGAGATACATGTCTGAAAGGCGCGCTCCAGAGGCCGGTAAAGCTACTAGTGACAAAGATAGTATCGGTTGTTCGCAGAAGCTTCCAGAGGTAATTGTATATATTACATTGAAATTAATTTAGCACATTTTTCTTAATTGACACATTAACTGATCATTATTTGTTTAGGGCATTTCACCTTGTCGACTATATTTATCGTCGCCGACTTATCGCATGGTTGGCAAGGGAAAGGTGCATAACACCCTGGGAGACTTACTTCACCATAAACCCCTCCCTGCTGGATTTTTGAAAGTATCTGTTGATATTGCATTAGAGGGGGGGGGGCGTTGTTGCCTATGCGAGACGATGTATCAGACGCAACAGTGGTGGGAGACGCGATAGGAGCTTATGTAGCATGGCCGGCGAATCTCATTTTCATGGATGATGAGGTAGGTTGAACCTTGTAATATTCCAATGTTTTATTACCCATACATGAAAGTTATTCTGACATTTACACTTTCTTATTGACATGATGATCTTAGACTCCCACAAAATCCAAAACAAAAGATGATAAAATTATTGTGCGGGATATCGATTCAGCTGCATCAAAGTTACAGGTACTAGTACTACAGTTTAAGTGATTATTTTATTATAAATTATTTACTGAACTTATATATGACTTTTAGGTTCTTGATCAGCAGTCGCAACAAGTCAGCAAGGGAAACATGCCTGAAACTTCCAAGGTGCCCAAAAAAAAGGTCGAGACAAAAAGAGCATTTGTTCCTCAATTTAGGTCGTGCCTTCAAACATATGTAGGGACAACAGACGTGCCTGAGGGCGGCATCCGTCTAATACATATGGATCAAGGTATTTTCGGTTTTGAATATTCCGAAACACTTGGTAAGGAGGATTTCGACCAGGTTTTCAAACATTTAGAATTGGGCGTCGGGGTTATGCATACCTACATCAGGTACTTCGATCCATTTTAATTAGATAATTGAACATTTTAAAATTCGCTCGTTTAACTAAATAATCTAATGTTGATTATATTTTTTTTAGGCGCTTGTATGACAAGATGTTGGTCCCCGCTGATTTGACTTCAGTATTCGCATTCTTATCTGCTAGCAGTGTCAACTCACGGACAATAGACCAGACACTAGAAGCAGTCAAAGAGTACACAGTCCAGAGATTTATGGGTGCGAATACGGAGAAGTTGTTTATGTT